ACGTGTGCTCTTCCGATCTCCCCAAAACCCCAAAACCCCATCATGATTTTAATTGTTAATATTCTAGATATGTGTAATTTTTTAACTTAATTTTACCATATATTGATGATCAATAATAACTATATATTTCTCAGAATAAAATATAATACTACAGTTAATTTAGAATTATAAATAGACTATAAGTGCATGGTACTAAAAGGTTTTAGACAGTTCATCAGTGGTTTTGATATCTATGGTCATCAGGTTAAGCTTCTTTACAATGGAGAAGACACAAGAAAGTCACTACTAGGGGGAATTTTAAGTTTGATCTCCATCGGACTTATGGTTTGGTACTTTGTAGTATAAATTATGGATATCGCTGAAAATAAAGCAAGTATCAAATAAGCTCAAAACCCTATAAATCTTGCTAATGCAGATATTACAATAGACAATACAAACTTCGACATGGTCTTCTTAATAAATACGTAGAGACCTATGACTCAAAGAGAAATCTTTTCTTATATCGATTTCAATGTGAGCTTTAAAAGTGAAGAATTCGTGGTTAATGAATATGGTGATCTTGAATTCAAATCGACAGTTAAATAGTTATAGATGCATTTGTGCCCAGAAGATAGAATGTTTAACAGCACTATTTATAAAAATTTTACAAAGGCAATCGACCTCAGAAATGGACTTTACATTTGCCTAGATTCAGAAGAAAAGTTTAAACTTAAAGGCAGCGAAAACGTGATAACTTTTTAGGTTGACAAATGTGATTAGAATTTCCTAGATTTAGCATTCCCGGGAACATAATGCGTAAATCAAGAAAACTATAAATCTGATTTTCTTGATAATACTAAACTCTATGTTTTCACCTCGTAATAATACTTTGACTTCGATGAATTCGATTCTGATCCGATAAAAATTAATGTCCATGTCGATAAGTATGACTTCTAATATTTTAGACAATATGATATTACTTATAACATATTGCTTAACAAGGCTACAGGAACAGATAATAAACTTCATGAATAATTTGAATAGTTTGATAAATCATTCATCAGCACAAAGATTAGCACCACAAAAATTCTTGATAGAAATAAAAAAAGACCTGATTACTTCGAAATCAAATTCTAAGTGTTGAATGAGTAAAATATAATAGAAAGACAAGCTAATAACTTTGTCTAGGCTTTATCAAACGTTGGAGGTCTTGCAGGAATACTTTTTGGATTTATTGCTAATTTAATCGCTCCAATATAGGAGTTTTTATTCTATTAGAGCTTGCTCAAAAAAGCATTTCTAGTTGAAAAAAGTAAAATCTAAAAAGAAGAAGGAAACTAAGATTTCTAGAGTAGGAAGAATAGCTAGGAGAATAGACATGAAATCAAGAAAACTTTAGATAACCCAGACTTTCACACATACTTAAGTTTGATAAAAAAACTTAAAGATAGAATCCCATTCATATATTCCATCAAAACTGCAATTAAGCAGAAGTTATAGCAAATATTTTGCTGCAAGAAGCAAAGATTCTAGCAAGAATTATATGAGTTAGGCAAGGATTTCATTGAAAAATAATTTGACATCTCAAATATCCTTAAAGATCTAAGATCATTTAAAATGATAAATAGTGTGTTACTATCTAAGTTTTAAAGAAAACTTATTCCTAATTTTAAGAAGTATTTGTTGACTTAGAAACTTTATCAATAAAAATAAAAAGATAGAGAAATTTATGAGAAGAAATAATTGTAAACTGATAATTAATCTTTAATAAAGTCAAGTCCAGTAACATAACTGATGATAGAGCTCTTTGGACACCATAAGAATCCATAGAATGCTTACAACTAGATAGTGATTGAAAAGATCTTTATGGGTAAAGATTAAATGCCTAAAGATTTAAGCGCTTAATTGTATACTGGACTGCTTAGATAATTCATTAAGCTTAATATCGAGAAAGAATTTAAGGGAAGTAATGCGTAAGGTCCTATGAATGAGGAAGCAATTACATACGGTGTTGATATTTATGAGGATAAAAATGATGTTAACAAGGCTGACTAAGTAGAAAACTAATTTGAAACAAAAGGAAAAAATCACAATGATACATTCAACAGTGATGATGAAAAATTAGGTGAGATAAGCGTTTTAAATGGAGATATCAGTCGAGCTATAAGGGTCCAGTAGATTCCAAAAAAAGTGCTCCAATAGGATTATCCTGTTGATGAATATTATGATTGAAAATTTTTAAGTATTTTGACAACAATTTATTATAAAGCAGTAGTAGATTGATTATTTTATGAGATTCTATCAATATAGCTAGAATTTTGAATTCCGGGGTTTTGGGGTTTTGGGGTTTTGGGGTTTTGGGG